CCCACCGAAGTGGTACCTATTCATCTACTTGCAATTTCTTGCTTTCAAACTGCTAGGTTGGCAGGAGCTGGGGCCAGAGACCAGAGCTCACTCCGTCATGCGGCACACTCGGGTCTTGAACTATCGATCTTCCGGTCTGCAGCTCAGCATCTTAACCACTTGAGCTACCGCTGCCCTATAACTATAAATAGGTGGCAATAGATATTCCAGAGGGATAAATGCCCGTCTGGGGGCTGTGTGAAAACCAGCTAGCCGCATGATCCTGTTGTGCCTGCTGGGATCTCAACTGACCACCCCAGGGATTCCTTTGCCAATCCAGTTTCATCTCTGCAAAAAAGAAGGGCCACTTCTTCCAGCTCAGACGTCGGCCTTCCTCCCATTCCTAGGCCTTTGCCAAGAAGGGACAATGTACTTATTTGTGTCCCATTCCACCACCTGCATCAAAAGCTTCCGGACAGTTAATGAAACAGAACGGAGAGTTAAAACAGGAGAGGATCACAAAACCCCAGTGAAAACCCCATGCACTCAAGGCAGCAGGGTCAGCCGTGGAGAGTTCATTATTGCCCAAGGTACCTGAGCCGCTGCCAGGTGAAGGCTGCTGCCCAGTTTGGCTTGGGGGTGGCCTCTTCCTCTCCTCTCTAACAGCAGGCCCAGCTTTCCTCTCTTTAGCTTGTAATGTACACGTTTCAAAAAGCAGCACAGTTGCATAGGACAAGATAGCGATGTTAAAATTGGTCCAACCAAGAGTAAAATATTTATTTATTATATTTATACCCCGCCCATCCTGCGAACAGGCTCAGGGCGGCTAACAAAGCGGAACAATGTACCTGATTGGCATAACCATAAAAATTTAAAACTACATAAAACACATATTCATATTACATAATTTAACAGTTAGCAATAAAGTGCTCGCAGTACTAAAGATTAGATGGCGTGCTTTCCAGATCTAAATCTACATTGTTTGTCCGATCATCATCCCTTGAGCCGATGGGCCTAGCGATACAACTGGGCCAGTCCTAGGATCCAGATGTTCAATAGGATCATTGATGGTAACAATAGTGGCAGCTCCTATTTAAAGGCCTGGCGGAAGAGCTCTGTCTTACAGGCCCTGTGGAACTGTGAAAGGTCCCGCAGGGCCCTGATCTCCTCCGGGAGCGCGTTCCACCAGTAGGGAGCCACCACTGAGAAGGCTCTGGTCCTGGTACTGGTGAGCCTTGCCTTGGGGCCTGGAATAGTCAAACGATGTTGGGCCCCTGACCATAGTGCTCTCTGGGGTACATATGGGGAAAGGCGGTCCCTCAAAATATGCACAAATAATTTAAAGCGGAAGCATGCCAGAGTAATTGGCTTCCTTACATCTGATCCACTTTGCCTCTGGCTTGGGACTGAAGAAGAGGAGGAGGAGGATACCCCGCCCTTCACTTGGACTCTGAGCGGCTTACAAACTCCTTCCCCTCCCCACAACAGACACCCTGTGAGGTAGGTGGGGCTGAGAGAGCTCTGACAGAAACTGCTCTTTTTCAAGGACAGCTCTTGTCAGAACTACGGCTTGCCCAAGGTCATCCAGCAGCTGCGAGTGGAGTGGGGAAACAAACCCGGTTCTCCCAGATTAGAGTCCATGCACTTAACCACTACACTAAACTGAGCGTTTAGCGTCTCTGTAGGAAGGGGAGAAAAAAAGTAATGTGGGAAAACAGAAGAAAAGCCCAGAGAAGCAGCCACCGCCTTCCATGTGGAGGAGGGGATCGAGCAAAGGAGAAGGTCCCAAGGGCTGCAACCCAAAGAGGGCCTCCTCTGGGCACCAGGCACAAGACAGACCTCTGTACAAAAAGGGAGAAAGTGTGGCCCACCTGTGCGTGATAGAAGAAAACATGCCAGAAGGGGTAACTGTGAGATTTGACATGGAGAATGCTTGGCCCAGAGAGAGACAAGGGAGCTTCTAGTATTTACAACAATGTAATCTCTTTGAAAGTTTTCTGGGAGAAGATGATGCATTGGCTCACAGCTGAACAGCTGTTTCCTCAGTACAGCTGTGCCAGGTAAGGCGCCACTAGTTAAAAATGTCATTTCAAACTCTTCCCCAAACATGCAGCCCACGCGGTCCCTTGGGAAGCTCAAGTGGAGGATACAGAAGCAACGTGTGTGTGTGTGGGGGGGGTGTTGCTCAGGCCACACACATCACATAAAAGGCCATGGCAGGTTTTTTCCCCCAAGTTTCCGTTTATTCACCACCAGCAGGAACCTCCCCCCCCCCCCATACAGCTCTCTCCCCCCTGCATTCCTGGCCCAACGGGGTCTGGAGGCTGCCTCTCAGGGTCCTTCTGCGCTGCTTTTGTGCGGAGATCTCTGGCGTTCCCGTCTGTCCTGCACTATCTGTGACAGCCGGTTTCGGATGATGCGGAGAACTGTGAAGACATCGTGCAGAAAGGCCTCTTCCGACTGGGCATCTGGCTCTGAGCCAAAGGCCGTTCCCTGTGAGTGGAAGCACAAGCTTTGTCTACAAAAGGTCCCCAGCGGCAGTGCTGTCCCTGGGCATACGGGGCTTGGCGGGCAGAGAAGACCTTTGGGCCCCAGAAAGCAGGGCTCAGAAATGTACGGAATGTGTGAAATGAAAAAAGGCACGGCATCACTGAACAGCTGCAGAGCACCTCTGTCTTCCTGCCAAGACAGAACACGAGTCAAAGTCCAGCTACGGAGTCTCTTTCTCAGTGTCAGGGGCCAGGGAGTTCCCCAGGCGGGTGCAGAGCACCTTTCCTTCAGCACTGCGTGACTCCAACCACACCTAGGGCCCTCCGAGGACAAGCCTTTTGCAGGTAGACCGAAGCAAGGCCTCTCTAGCCAACCTCGGGCTCCCAGGTTTTGCCACACAGGTTGCAATCCCAAACTACCCATGTGCGGCGGCTCTGCCCCCATTCTGATTGGCACAGAGGTCCCAGCAGATGTGTAAGACAAAATAAGTTGGCAGGGGACTTTGTCTTCAAACACACAAACACCCTTTCTCACACCAAAACAGTTCAGCCTTCACAAAATACTAAGAACTGGGCAAGGCTCAGGCAAGGATGCAAAAAAATAACTGTGTGGTGGGCTAGGGGGTAGATGAGGATCCCCTCCCTTATTTTAAAAAGAAAAAAGGGTTGAATGATTGTGTCTGGCTTGGTCTGCGGAAGGCCCCAACAGAAGCACGCAAATGTCTCTGGCCCACCTCTAACCACACACCAATTTGGTCACCCACTCAGACTGGCACGCAGCAGTTTAAAGACAAATAGAGAGAAGCTCTTCTCCAGACAACGTAGATGAGCCCACAGGCTGCACTGCCACGGGATGTTGTGGCGGCCGCCAGCATAAATAGTTTATCAGAGACAACATTAAACACACCCGGAGCCTAAGGAAGGAGCAGAGCTGCCGGCTGGAGAGGCAAGCTGGGGACTCACTCGGGGTCAGCATGGAGGGGAACGAGCGGCCAAGGAAAGGCCGGGCCGGACCCAGCAGGGCTGGTGGTCGGTCTTGCTTACCCCTCGCCCTCTGAAGCGCAGGACAAAGAGGGCCGCAGAGCCAGAGAGGCCCACGAGAAGGGCCCACAGTGGCAGTGGGAAGGGACAGGCCCTGTCCCAGACGGCAAACCAGCACTCGCCAGCCCCAGGAGTGCCAGGCAAGCGTGGCATCTCTCCCTGCACGGGGTCCAGCTCTTTGAACCTATGTCGCTTTAGCTGGGCTTGGTTCGCGGAGAGCATGGCCAGCAAGAGCAGAGAGCAGCTCCACAGCTCCATGATGTCCACGCGCATCCAGGGCAGCTCGGTGGTTGCTAGGATGCGGTTGCCGGAGACACACTGCCGCTCCTTGAAACTTCCATGCCCCAGTGGAAGACGGGCCCACAGCGGAAGAGCAGCCGTTGGCCGAGTGCTGTGAGCCCAAGTCTCCAGGCTTAGGTCTGTCGGCCCTGAACCCGAGCACACCCCACCCCCACCCCCGGCTAGCTGGGAGTCCCGGTGAGCCGCCTGCAAGAGGTTCCAGGCCCGGCAGTCCTGTGTGCTCCTCGGGCAGACTCAGGGAACAGGTGGGGCCTGCTCACTCATCCATGGCCATATTTGGAGTGAGGCAGGGATTGCCTTCTGAATCCGATGGGCCAGGAGCCCTGGCAGGCAGTGGCTGGCCTGACTCCTTTAGCCAAGTCGCCTGGGGTTGTTTTCCTCCACAGGCGCTTCTAGTGGGATGATGCTGGAATTGCTGCCTTTGTGGTGGCTGTGACCACGGATGGGCTGGTGGTGGTGGTGGTGGAGGCGCAGGCGAGCCCGCTTCTCCTCTCTCCAGGGGCCGTGATTCTAATATGTGCCCACTGGCATCTGTTTGGGACAGGCCCCGGTGCCAGATTCCAGATGCGCATTCCGGACTGCATCTTGCATGGGGCGTGAGCAGGGGGACTCGTGGGCGCTTCAAGTGGCCCACAGCACACCAAACAGGGTGCCTTTCATCCCCGCCAGGGAGGTGGGGGCTGCCCAGTGGCACTGTTTGTCCCAGTCCAGCAGGGACACGGTGATCCTGCAGGAGGAGGGGGGAGGCAGGAGGTGCAGAACAATAGGCCTTGTCACTCCACACGGGCCCGGCAGCTGATGCCGGAATCCCTCCCTTTGCCAGCACGGGGGTGCAGTGGCTCCTGGGGCGGGGCTGGGAAGCTGCGGCAGATTCAGGGATCCAGGACACGGCGGCTCCCGTGTGGCAGAAAAATGTCGTCCACAAGAAGACTCCATGGATTTGGGCTGCCCGCACTGGACGTTCCCCCACCCCCGGTGTTAAACAGGCAAGGACACGTATCAGTTCCTGCCTACTTTTGCGTGGCAGTGGGGGTGCGTGGACTGAGTGCCGTTGGATCCCTCCGCACTCAGTCAGGAGCTTGTTGTAAAAGTCACACGTGGCCGTCACAGCGAAACACCCTTCACCAATTCTCTCCCCCCCCCAGTCCACTTTTCAGAAACAAACAGCAACCACCACAAAGGGCGACATGAGCAATTCTGCACTTTAATAACCTGAAATACTGAAAAAAAGTGTCCAATATAAAATTATTGCCACCTCCATCTACCCCCAGCCTGCACTCCTCCCCCTTCCAACGGTGCCTGGGGGCCCCGTGGAAACACCCCACCCCCCGACACTCATACTCCATTTCAGCGAAATGACTGCAGAACTATCCCAGCTGGGGTTGGGGGAGGGGAGAGAGGGAGGGACCTGGCCCCTTTGGGGCTTTTGAGGTTCACCCCCATCAGTGAGAGAGCGAAACGGGCCCCCTCTCCACCTCCACCCATTTGTCGTGTCTTCTGTGCAAGATCCCACTCCCTTTCCAGAGCTGGGGGACAACACCAAGAAGCTCTGATTCTACCCCCCCTAAAGGCACATGCTGTGTTAGTTCCCCTCCCCCCAAGGCTGGCTTCAAACACTCATGCCCGCACGCACCCTCCCCACTGTGCTCTGCCCACCCCATTCACATCTCCGGGAATCTGTGTCTCATACCCTCCCCATCCACACCCCTCCCCCCACCCCTCAGTACCAATCACACCCCTTCCTGACAAATGCAGGGTCACGCGGTGCCGCTGGGGGGGGATTTGGCCGCGTGAAGCTGGGCCTGGAAGCGAGAGAGCTGCTCGGGGCTGGCCAGGGAGCGCAGCAAGGCGTTCTCCTGCTCCAGCAAGGTGTTGCGCTCCGACAGCTCCTTGATCTGTTCCCGCAGCACCTCCACCTCCTCCCGCACGGCGAACATCAAGTGGCTCTTCACCAGGTCCTGGAGAGGAGGGGCAGACAGAAGAGCAGCGCTGTGAGGTGCCACGGACCCCAGGAAGGAGCTCTCCCCCCGCCCACCTCCCCCCAAATTATTTGTCATTTCAGTGTGCAAAATGCACTATGATCTCTGTTTACCCTCCAAGAAACCCCAAGGGCACACGGGCTGCTCAAGCCTACATACAATGGCAGCACTCGAACCCAGGGTTCCAGAAACAAACCGACATTGCCACAATTAGCCCTCCAGTGTCCTGCCTCCCTCAGTCTTCTGTCACCCCAAAGGTGCCATCCACTCAAACCTCAGGACAAACAGGGGCATTAATAAGACAGCTAGATGTTGGTCCAGTAGCACCTCAGACACCAACAAGAGCTCTTGGGCGTCAAAGCTCTCTTCATCAGGCATTAACAAGAGTGCCTCTGAGCACATGCAGGGTGACTCACTCCCACAGCTGCCAACAGGATCGCTGGAGTACCAGAGAGTGTGCAAACGGGAATCAATCATGCCAACCCCTTTAAAGGGAACTAGAAGGGGAAACTGTTCTATGTGTTAGTACAAAAATATCTGCAGCAGCAGCTTTTGGCAGTCAAAGAGTTCAGGCTGTTGGGAGGACAGGTGACCGTCCCGTCCCTGTGACTCTTTCGGGATTGTTTATTGGGAGGACAGGTGTACTGGCCCGTAGCAAACATGGGGTCCAGGGGGCCTGGCCCCCTAGTGTTTCTTCTGGGGCCCCTCCCTCCTGGGCTGACCCCAAAGTGCTCCAACTTACCACCTGCACTGTACTTTCATTTAATTAGCTGGTGGGCCCCCCGAGGCCCCCTCCCAAAGAATTCCCTAGCTACGGGGCGTCACCTGCCCGTCCCTGTGACTCTTTCGGGATTGTTTCTGGCACCCCAAAGGGGGAGCGCCGTGCAGTGCTGCGAGAGGCCTCCGTCCCTGCCTGCGGGGCTCGCAGCTCTTCCCGGCTCAGCCCCTTCACTCACCATGGCTTGTTCAATCTTGTTGTCTATGGCGATCATGCTGCTGTTTGTCCCGCTGCGAGAAAGAGATGGACAGAGGCATTAAGCGAGGAGGGGGTACCTGCCCTCCCGGCTGGGCCGGCTTCCCCAGGGCTCCCCTGCTACCACGCTGATCCCCGAAGGCCCAAGAGAAGAACTGGCGAGGCACTACCCCAACACCAACTTCCGCATTTCGTTGATTTCGTCTGTTCCAGAGGCCTGCTCAGTGCAGTCTGCCAAATTAAAATTGTAACCAAGGTCAGGGAAACCGCTACTATAACTTTATCAACATTAAAATCTTCCGCAAAACAAGCCAAGAGCCTGCTAGGGGCATAAAAACAAGCCGATGCCCAGTCCCCGCCCTTGGCTCATAAACATGCTTGTCGAGATGTCTTAATCCAAGAGGGACCGTGAGCACCCGTCCGGCGGCTTCCCTTTACCACCGAATAGCAAACCGAGCAGACGAGGTGTGGCCCCCAGCAAGTCTGAGCCACCTTGGGCCAGGTGGGCTGATAATGAACGGAAATAAAGCCAGCCACACCACCTCTCTCCTTTGACACCCGAAGCACTGCTGTGCCCCCTAAGGTTCAACACACCCTGAGGGACTGCGGGGTCACCGCTGGGCCACCTTAGTTCACTCTCCGCAGTTTCCAAAACAACTCTCTGGCTCACGGCCTCTGGGGTGTGTGTGGCTGCTTGTGGGCCACAAATGCAGCATCCTTTGGGGGATGCGGCTCCGGATCCCGGCCTTACCTCCTGTGCTGCCCTTGGGACTAAGCCACCCAAAGGCTCCTCCTGAAACGGGAATGTCAAGACTGGCCCGGCCAGACTAGCTCAGGACAAAGGCCCCTTTCCCCTCACGGCCAGTCAGATGTCCTGAGGAGCCCACAATCTCTTTGGGAAGTTCCCCTCTCAACTTCCCCACGCTTTATCTTCACAACAACTGTGCAGGGTAGGCCGGGCTGCTAGAGCAGGGTGCTCACCCCAACAACTTTGTGGCAGGGCAGGGCCGTGAGCCCCGGTCTCCCCAGTCTCGCCACACCCCCGCTCCTTCCTCCCCACCCTCTCCGCCATGTCCCCTCTGGGTCCTCTCCTCTCCCCTCCTCACTACCTGTGCAGAACAAGCAGGAGAGAGACGAGCGTTTTGTCCACCTCTTTTTTCCGGCCACCGAGCTTCCTGTGGCATTTGGGGGTGTCCCTTGACTGAGTCCGGGCAGGGGACACATCCCTAGAAAGGACCGGGGAGGTGCAGCCACGCTGCCGACGGTGATGGGGGTCCGCTGCACCAGGAAGCAGGCAGCAGCCGCAGCCGCCTCGGGACCCCTGGTGGGACTCGTAAGCATTCACCATGGACTTGACAGACGTCCCTTGGGGATCCAGGGACATGCCGGCGGCTCTGGGCTCCCTCCCAAGTTCCTTGCTGGTCCCAGCACACTCCCTCAATCTCCTGGTTCCCGAGCTCCGCTCCCAATAGTCCTTTAGTGTCCTCTGAGCTCTGGCTCTGCTGCCGCCGCCTCAGCGTCAGATCCACGGGTCTTCCATCCGGAGCCCAAAGCCCCCGTCAGCCACCAGAAACCTTCCCTTTCCCCGGAGACGTGCGGCCTCCCGAATCACAGGAGGAATTCTGCTTCCGCTCCGAGATCCGACATGACCCCGGTGCCTCCCCGACAAAGTCTTTCCTCTCAGGAGGCTCCGGGGCTGCAGGGTGTAGCAGAGGCAGGAGCCCTGGGGGAAGCCCGGTGGCACGGGACGGGACGGGATGGGCCCTCCGCTCCACAGATGCCCGGCCAGGCTCCCTGGCTCAGCATAAATAGCCATCTCTGTGCCTGGCGCTCAGCCCCCTCTCATTCACTCCCATTGGCCAAGTACATGTGCTGTGCCCCCCCCCCACACTCCTGTCACTACAGGGAGGGCCGGCAACACAGCAGTAGGGGGCGCCAGCTGCACCAGCACACTGGAAAACTCCCCACTCGTACCTGGCCGCCCCCTCCCACTGAAGCTCCCCCGGAACACAAAGAACTCCTGCCCTAGAAAGGTTCAAGACAGAACCCTCCGGAACGGAAGGGGTCGGATCCCT